GAAGAATTTGGTAATTCTGCCACCGGCGGCTTCTGCTCCTTCGATTTCATAGCGGATCGAAGCGGATACCTAAGCACTGACTTGCACTCCCTGAAAACATCATAAATCAATTTTAAAAAGAAAATCCCCTCAAAAAAAACCACCATCCATCTCCGTTCAATTTTCTTTCCTTGTAAAAAAATTTGATGGATAGAACAGATCAATACCAGGCGCAGGAATCTGATCCTTAGTAGCAACCTCGTCCATGAATGTGGTGCGTTTGATTTTTTTTTTTTTTTTTTTTCCTTTTGAAGAACGCTGAAACAGAAACTGAAAAAGAAAATGCTGAGTTCGTACAAAAGAAACAGACCGTGTGTTTGGATTTTATAGTAGGAAAAATCTACTGCTTTTTTTTATGCTTGTCCTTTGGGCGGGAAACTTAAGGAACGGAAAACTTCAAAAAAAAAAAAGGAAAAGCAAAAAGTTAATATTCCAATCCACCTTTGACACGTGCATTGTCTTTGATTCTCTGCGTTGGGTCTATTTTTTGAATAATGTGTAATGGTTTAATTGGTTGAGAGTTTATTTTATAATTATTTCTTGTATTGATTTCTTTAAACGGCCAACTCTTACGCATTTGGCCTAAAAATTTAATGGCACTAACCATTAAAGAGGGATATTCTTTCTTTTTAAGTAGGTTTTGAACTCGATTCATGTTAAAATGTTTAAAAATAAAAAAAAGGGCCGACTCATGTGGGATCCAAGCGGAGGGGTTGATGATGGTCCACGCGCCTCCCTTGAAGGGTTCAAAAAACGCTCTTTAATTCAAATTTTGAAATTCAAAATGATGGCCGTTCAATCCAAGTGAAACAGATTTGCGGTTAAGATGGGATGAAGAGTGGATGGTTATCGGCTTTGTGTGGGTCCAACGGAGACTTCAACTTTGTCGTTTTTCTGCAATGTTTTATTTGAGTTAAATCACAAGAAAATAAGTGATCGTGCTTGTAATGATAATGATTAATTAATGAATTACTACCATTTTGTTCAAAATTTAGTTGACCCCCTGCAAATGAGTAGGGGTTAGGCAGAACTTGGCCTTTATCTTTGATTGTTCGACTTTAAGTTTTAAGTGGGTGGGTGAAGTGATCAAAATTTTGATTTTTACTATTGTCTTAAATTCTATCAATAGCAGTTTGATGGTTGCGTGTCTCATTTGAAAAGATATGTCTGAGAATCGAATTCTCAGTTACTAACAATTAATTCAAACTAACGTCATAACTATTATCCTTGTAAAAAAAAAAAAAAAAGTAGGGGTTAAGCAGGGTTTTTGTTGCGCCGCCACTTCATATGTTGAATTTTCTGAGTGAGTTTCTTTTTCAGTGAGGT